CAGAAAAATAGCCCGGGGACGATGTTTCCAGATTTTTGTCTATGATTGAGCACGATTTGAGCATTCTTGAAGTTTCGCCATCCGCTGTAGGAGGACATGCCCGACCTAACCCTAGCTCGCTGCTGGAGGAGCTTGCCCATCAGGAGGGCCGCCGAATAAGACTTGCTTCTGGTGATTATCTGCCTGCACGGGCTGGCCAACCCGTCTGGGTGGACCCTGACCACGGCGTACTGACCACAAACCGCGCAGAACATTGATTTGGGGCACTTTCTTTGAACATTGTGGGGCCGATGGGTGGGTTGGCCTGAGAAGACCATGGGCCCCAGGACCAGAGAGACACCCCGACGTGGGGTTCTCAGGACATCGAAAGCGAATTTCTTCTCCGTGCGTCCATATCACAGGGAGCATTGCCAAAATGGTCGATGGGCATTCATGGTCTGATACTTGGAGCTCGCAAGGGCTGCACTGAGCCTCAAGGCTTCACGGTCAACGTGGGGGGTGCGCTTGCGATCAATTTCAGGCCGCGGCGAGGGAGGGACCCGCAGGGGAGCACAATCCAAGAGGACAGCAGGGAGATATTTCTTGACCACCGCAGCGACTTTGTCAACAATCCTAGTCTGGCAGATCCTGGCATACGGAAGCCGTACAGATGCACAATATTCCACAGCCAATTCCTCAGCCTGCATGAGAGAGTCAGGAAGACCGAACGCTCCTGGGTCTCAGAGGAGGAAAGGTGCGACGCAACCTTGAAGACCTGCAGCACGACCCCAGTAGTAGCTTCCATCACCGCGTGACGCTGGACCAGTCCGAAACGTTGCTGGTGGCTTACTAAGGATTCCTTGGTAAGGGGTCCTTGTGCAAGATACGTTTTCAGGACTCCTTGTTCAGAACTCCTAAGTAAGGCGTCCTTATTAAGTGCTTGTTTTCAATGATCCCGCATCCAGGATTCTCCAAGCAGTATTCCTTAGAAGAGGGTCTCGTTTAATGGATTCCCAGTAAAGATCTCATCAGCAATGATTCCTTAAGAAGGGTTCCTCATGGGGGGTTCCCTTCAACATAATCCTTATTCTGGGTTCCTTACTCAGGGATCCTTATCAAGGACTCCTTATTACGGACTCCGTTTTCAGGACTCCCTCTCGGGGGCTCCTTCTTGAAGATTCCGTTCTCTAGATTAGTTAGTAGATGTTGGTTATTAAGGATGTACGGGTAAGAATCCTTTGTTGCGGATTCATGCGTTAATCATGATTCTTGATTGACGGGCTCCCCCGTCAAGAGTTATCGTGAATGATCCCTGGCCAAGGATTCCTTAATACGGATTCTTTACTAAGGAATTCAGGCTCAGAATTGTTTATTCAGGATTCTTTAGTAAGGGTTCCTGACTCAGGATTCCTCCCATCCGTGGTGACAACATCTTTTGGGGGTCGGACTCCTCATCGCTGCCCATACAGCGCTTTTTAGTACAAGGGGCTGTAACGGCAGGGTGCGTTGCCCGTTGCTGGTCGTTCGCCCCCTCGCGTCCCCTCATGGGGTCCGCAGCAGGGGCAGGTACCCCCTTGTGAGGGCTGGAGCGTTGGATGGGGCCCTCAGCCAGTGCCATTACCAGATTGATGTAGGGTGGACGTGGAGGTGGACTCCGTGGAGGGCGAGGACGAGGAGGAGGGGAGGCGTAGGGGCAAGCGGGGGCGGAGGTGGAGACGGAACTGGACGGGGCGGTGGGGGCTCCCACGGAAAAGGAGAGGGTAGGTGCAGACGGAAGCGGACGTGGACGTGGTCCACGTCCATGTCCACGTCCGCTTCGTCCATGTCCGTCTGCACCCGCGTACCTCTTTCTTCCGCTCGACTGCGAAAAATACGTAACACCCCGCAGTTGCGGGTGCGAGGATGTCCTCAGTCTGCGAGGCTGTGGAGAAGCCCGCCGCGGGCGCTTTATTTTTACAAATTATGCATTGAGCCCGCCGCAGGCGCCGATTGTTTCGTTAAATCATTGTGGGTGGATCGCGGGGTGGGTCGCGGGCCGGGTCGCGGGTGGGTCGCGCATGGGCCGCGCATGGGTCGCGGGGTGGGTCGCGAGGTGGGTCGCGGGGTGGGTCGCAGGGTGGGTCGCAGGGTGGGTCGCGGGCGGGTCACGGGGTGGTTCGCGGGGTAGGTCGCGGGTGGGTCGCGGGTGGGTCGCGGGGTGGGTCACGGGGTTGGTCGCGGGTGGGTCGCGGGGTGGGTCACAGGGGGGACGACGACAACAAACAACAACAACGCAACAAGCAGAATCTTCACCACGGATCCCTACTGGAGCCCCGCACCCGGGGACAATGAATGCCCGTTCGGCCTCCTCGCTCTGGTGAGCATACAGTATTCTGACGGTCCGAGCGGACTTCCTGGATCTGTGCTGGACCCGCCGGGCGACACGTCCAGCGCCGCCGCTGGCGCCCTCCGCGTGCCAGGGAGGAGGGCCCAGCGCCGATCCCATACATCCGCGCGGAACCTCGGAAGTTTCGGCTCCTGCAGTTGCTTCTCTTCGCCATTCTCCGCCCCTCGCCCTCCGCGTCGGCGCGGAGGGCGAGAGGGGCAGAAGGAAGGAAGCGGTCGAGCTCGGCCGAGGGCGGCCGCGGGCGGGCGGCGGGCCGGTGTCCCCCTGCCGGCCTGCAACCTGAGGAGCGTTCCAGGGAAGCTCCAAGGAGGAAGCATCTGCATCAAGGTTCTGGACGCCCGAGATGGGTACGGAAAGAATGGGTAGAATGCCCAACAGCGGATCTTGTTCATCTTGAGCAGGCCTCGCTGTCCACGCCGCCGCGGCCTGTGTCCATTCGAGACAGGAGGCCACCTGCCCAACAGCGGCCGCTGTTGGGTTGGGACAGCATCTGTTCTTGGGCATTGTACCCATTCTTTCCGTGCATATTTCGGGCGTCCAATGTCCAGTGAAGTTCCAAGGAGGAAGCATCTGCATCAAGGCAATGTCTCGGAGGCCCGCGACGATCTCTCGAATCTACTCCGACCTGTGGGTCCGCCCCGGGCGCGCTCCGCGCGCCAGTTCAGCGTACACTTGCACACAGGCGGCCCGGATCAGTAGGTCGACCCTGCCAGATCAAGGGTACCTTCGTGTCCCGTGTCTTGCGACCCATGCCTCCTGCGTTTCTGTGGCAACGTGGCCCTCGGAAGGGTCTTGTGTCCTCTCGCGTGTCCTGTCCAATCGAGTCCGACTGTACACACACACACAGAGAATCTGGTCGTGCCCCTGCTGTGAGCGAGTCCGAGCGGTCGAGGAGTTGGCATCGCCGCCTCGTCGGGACGCCAGAGCCGGCGGAGCAGCAGCAGGAGGGCGGCTGCGCCGGCGGAGGGCTCGGTCGGGAGCGGGCGGGAGTGAAGATCAGAGGCGACGATGGGGGCGAACAGCCCAGGGGAGAGCAATACGCGTATTCGGGCGCGCCGATGATCTATGTCTTCGAAGAGGCTCCCGGGCGAATGCGTGTAATGCCCGCCCCTGGGCTATTCGCCCCTATTGTCGCCGCCGAGAAGACCGTTCTCCATTCCCCGAGGTGTGCAGAGCGTTTCTGCCCTGGGGCTCTGGGAACGGGCCCTCACCCGACAGCCGGACCGACGTATGAAGATCGAGGTCGATCCGGGGGAGGTGCCCCACACTCTGGGCGATGCTGAAGAAAACTTGAGTTTTCGGCCAGAGTCTCGATTATTCTTAATGTTTCAATGTAAATCCCAAGATTTGAATAGAAATGTTGGGTTTTTATTCAAGTTCTGAGACTATGAATTTCTTAACCCATGATTTCTAAAGCATTTCGCAGGGTGTACGCGTATTCAGGCGCGCCGATGCTCTATGTCTTCGAAGAGGCTCCCGGGCGAATGCGTGTAATGCCCGCCCCTGGGCTATTCGCCCCTAGTGTCGCCGCCGAGAAGATCGTTCTCCATTCCCCGAGGTGTGCAGAGCGTTTCTGCCTCGGGGCTCCTGGGAACGGGCCATCACCCGACAGCCGGACCGACGTATAGAGACCGAGGTCGATCCGGGGGAGGTGCCCCAGTGTTCTTCGTGCTTGTGGGACGCTCTTGTGCATCCTGGGGAGGGCCACCCTGGGATGTTCTGTCTGTGTGTGTGTGTGTGTTTGTTGGCCGGCGGAGGGTCTCATGTTCTTGAGGGATGCTCTTCTGGCGTAGGCCCGATCCCATCGCTCTATATGCGTGACTGGCACCGCCCCCTCCTCTCGGGTCGGACGGGTGGGTGGGGCAGGGACAAAAGGGGGGAGCGACGACACTCGCTGCATGCAGCCGGCGTCGGCCTCGCCGCTCGGCGCCTCCCTCGAGGCACGGTGGCGTCCTGCGCCCGACCGTCCGCCGGGAAGAGCAGCCCCTTGAGCTGAGTCGCCAACCCCCCCCTTCTATTGCCCCCCCTCTGTGCACGAACGAGATGGGCACGGAAAGAATGGTTACAATGCCCAACAGCAGTTCCTGTCCATCTTGAACAGGACTCGCTGTCCGCGCCGCCGCGGCCTGTGTCCATTTGAGACAGCAGGCCGCCTGCCCAACAGCGGCCCCTGTTGGCTTGGGGCAACATTTGTTGTTGGGCATTGTACCCGTTCTTTCCGTGCCCATCTCGGGCGTCCAAACCCTCGTCCGCCCCGATGCCATCGGCGGCGACCTCGAGGCCCCCCTCGGCCTCCGATCCGTGCGCCGGCCCCGCGAGGGCGACGCGCGCGCCTCCGCGGAGGCCTCCTCGCCTCCGGGCTCCGCGGCGAGCGCGCCTCCCGGGCCCATGCCGCTCGGGAGACGGTCTGCCAGGCGGTGCGCGTGCCATGCGTGCGGTTCGGACGTGCGCCTCCCGGGGGGGGGGGGGGAGCACCAGCAGTTCCAACCGCGGCCCGCCTGAGGGCACGCCCCGCAGACCGCCAGTGGCCCCGGGCCCGCCAGTGCTCCGGGACGGGGGAGGGGCGCGAGGCCAGCCGACGCCCCGCGCGCGCGGCCCCGCTGGCTTGGCGTCCGCGCAGGAGGGCCAGATCGCCATGGTGCACGACACGTGCAAGCGGAAGGGCGACAAAGATGAGATCTGCCGGCCTTTTCTACCCAGCGTAGCTCGTCGTCGCCGTCGTCGTCGTCGTCGTCAGATCGAAGAGTTGAGGGTCTAGGCGCTGGAGCGTTTTTATGGCTTCTTGGCGCTCCAGGCGGCTGCTGGTGGCCACGGCTGGATCTGACGCCACACGTTTTTTTCCGGGGAGGGGGACCGCGTGCTGTTTTTGGACCCGGTGTGAGCCTCTCCCCCCGGCGGCGCCTCCAGCGCCGAGCTGAGGCATCCGCGCGGGCGGCTCGAAGTTTCTGTTCCTGCGGCGCTTGTTTCTGTGTGAGTGGGTGAAGGCGGTGAAGCCGGTGACGTGATGGCCGCTTGGCCCAAGAGGCAAGAGGGGCTGTGGCTTTCGGGCCGTTCCGCGCATTCGGGTCGGGGACACTTCGCCGTCGGTCGAGGCGCGCCATGGCCGCGAGCGCCGTCGTTCCACGCGCGGCGCTCCTCATGCGGGAGCACGACGGCCGTCTGCTGTGCAGCGGCGGGCGTTTCGACGGCGGGCGTGGTGCCGCCTGCGGGGGGGCGCTGCTGCGCGCTGGCTGGGCTGCGGCCCCATTTGGCTTCGGTTTCGGTTTCAGCTGTGGGTGCAATTCGGCTTTGCGTTTGGCTTCGGCTGGTTGCACCATGAACCGCCTTCGGACCAGCTCACCCGAGTCGTTGTTCTGCTTACACGGGTGCTCCCCCCCGGTGGAGTTCATGCCATTGTGTGTACCACCATGTTGTTTTGTGTTGTTTCGGTGGTTTCCCTTCCAGTTGTCTTGCTTGGTTACGTATATCTGCGTTACAGGAAGCCAGATATGTGCCATATGTGTTTTTGTATCATGGCAGTATACGCTTCTGTGGGATAGATGTCGCGCTCCAACATCACTACGTTCTGATATTTGATGAAAAGCGAGCCATCGAATAAATAATCTTTATAACGTCGGCGATGGCGATGTTGCAGTGATGGCGAAACTGGAGCAGAGCGATGCTGCACCTCCAGTATTAGCTTCGAGCGCTTGAATGCGAAGTCTTGGTTTCACATCAACGTCATAGGCAAGTAGGTTCTGGCAGTCGACCCCATGCTCATGCCAGGAATTGCAGCGCGCGCAGGCGCCAACGATTTACTAACCGTGGCAATTCTGTACACCAATAATACCAACAAGGCTTGGCGACGCGTCTGGTGGAACACAGTTCCCGGGGAGGTAATATACATATATATATATATATATACATATATATATACAGATCGAAGCATGGACGCATCTAGAGACGTAGTACCGTACATATGTGAAGCAGATGGGGTTATATGTTATATAGATTAACAATGATGCGTTCACTAGATACCCAAGGCTTGGTTTCATCGTAACATTCTTGCGCGGCGCAAGTGCCGTGGGGCCTTTGTTTGCGCGGCGGCGCATCGCTGCGGGATGCATGGTACGACGTCCTTTGCGAGGAATCACAAGGGTGCGGCGGATCGAAGACGCCTACGGAGAATCACCGCCCCCTCCCGCCTTTAGGATACGCCTATGTGGCCAATATGTTGGGCAAAGTTTGGCCACGCTATTGGACCATGCGTTCCCCCCGCCGTTGTCAAAGCCCTTCGGGGAGCACGTGGAGGAGGAAGTGGAGGATGAGGAGAGAGCGGATAGAAGAGTACGAGGAGAAGGATGAGGAGACCTCTTGGGAGCTTCTTGGGTCATTCTTGGGGCCTCCTGGGAGCTTCCTGGGGGTCCCTTGGAGGCCTCTTGGAGGCCTCTTAAGGGGGCCTCCTTGGGCCTCTTGGGGGGGCCCAAGACCCCTTCGGCCGTCTTAATTACGGCGTGTGTGGCCCGTCCACCGCCGTCGGAAGCAGTCTTGGGAGCCTCGTTGGGCTGTCTTTGGGCCGTTTGGGGCGCTTCAGGGTCGTCTTGGAGCCCATCTTGGGCGCCTGGGAGGCCTCTGGTCTTGGGGCAATCTTGGGTGCCGTCTGGTGCCGCCTTCGGCCGTCGGACGCCCAAATTGAAGCGAACGCAGAAACCCTTCAAACAACCAAAGGACAACTCACGATTTCAGCAGCTTCGGGCCTTCCTGGAGGACCTCTCGGGGGCCCCTTGGGCAGTCTTCGGGGCCTCTTGGGCCGTGATGGGCTCTCGCGGACCATCTTGGCGTTCTTGGGTGCATCTTGGGACCGTCGTGGAGGCCATGTTGGGGCTATCTTGGGCCCTCTTGGGGCAATCTCGGCCGTCTTGAAGGCAGCTTGGAGGTCATCTTGGCCGTCCTGGAGGCCACCCAGGAGCCGAAACACGACGACCCAGAGGTTTCCTGGGTGGCGGGCGCAATAAGCCGAAACCCCAGGTGGATGTTCGAAGATAAGCAAACAGTTAGCACGCCATGCATCCTTGTGGTACATCAACCGAGCGCAGCGGATCGAAGGTGCCTACGGCGAATCACCGCCGCCCCTTGCCTACTGGAATCGCCCATGTGTCCGAGCGTTGTGGGACGAGCTCTGCCAAGCCATCGGACCATGTGCTCTCCCAGCCGGTTTAGAAACCCTTCGGGGAACATTTTGGGGAGGATGGCGGGGGCGATCACGAGGAGGAGGAGGAGGAGGAGGAAGAGGAGCAGGAGGAGAAGGAGGAGGAAGAGGAGGAGGAGGAGCAGGAGGAGGAGGGGGCATACTGGGAGCCTCTGGACAGACTCGGGGCACTCTTGGGGTGCTCCAGGCCGTCTTGGGGGCCATCTGGGGCGTCTTCGAGGCATCTTGGGCCGTCGTGGGTCCCTCTTGGGGCCGTCTTGGGGGCCTCTCGGGCCGTTCTGGTGCCATTTTGGAGGCCTCTTGGGCGGTCTTGGGGCGATGTGTGGGGGCTCTTGGGCCGTCTCGGGCCCTCGGATGACCGAACAGAAGCAAATCCCGAAATCAGGCACAAACATCAAGATAATCAATGATGTTGGCCTCTTCGGGCCTTCTTGGAGGGCCTCTTGGAGGCCTCCTGGGCCGTCTTGGAGACCTCTTGCGGGCCTCGTGGGTCGTATTGGGCCATCTTGGAGCCATTTGGGGCAGTTTTGGTAGCCTCCTTGCCCGTCGGACACCGTCAGAAGCCGTCTTCTGGGCCTCTTTGGGCCGATTTGACGCCCTCTTAGGGTGCTCCAGGCCGTCTTGGAGGCCAGCTATGGCGTCTTGGAGGCCATCTTGGGCCGTCGTGGGGCCCTCTTTGGGCCGTCTTGGGGCCCTCTTGGCGCCGTCTTGGGGACCTCTTGGACAGTTCGGGTGCCATATTGGACGCCTCTTTGCCGATCCTGGGGCGACCTTTGGGAGCCCTTGGGCTGTCCCTGGCCGTCGGAAGCCGAACAGAAGCAAGTAAGTGCCATAATCTTTCAAACAACCAAACGAACATACATGATGTTGGCCTCTTCGGGCTTTCCAGGAGGCTCTCTTGGAGGCCTATTGGGGGCCTCTTGGGAAGTCTTGGGCCACCTTGGAGCCATTTAGGGATGTCTTGGTGGCCTCCTGGCCCGTCTGACGCCGTCAGAAGCCGTCTTAGGGGGCCTCTCTGCACCGACTTGAGGCCCTCTTGGGGTGCTCCAGGGCCGTCTTCGAAGCCATCCTGGGCGTTTCGGAGGCCTCGTGGGTCCTCTTGGGGCCGTCTTGGGGACCTCTTGGGCCGTTCTAGGGCCCTTTTGGATGCCTCTTGGGCGATCTTGGGGCGATCGTTGAGGGCTCTTGGGCCGTCTTGGGCAGTCCGAAGTCCGAACAGAAGCAAATGCCCAAAAACTTCAAACACCCAAGGGAAATCAGGTTTGGGCCTCTTCGGGCCTTTCTGGAGGGCCTCTTGGAGGCCTCTTGGGCAGTCTTGGAGGCCTCTTGCGGGCCTCTTGGGCCGTCTTGGGCAATACTGAGGCCATCTTGGGCCATCCTGTTGTCTTCTTGGGCGGACTTGGAGGCATCTTGGACCGTCTTAGGCCGTCTTGGAGGCCATCTTGGACCATCTAGGGCGAACTTGGATGCCATTTTGGGCCATCTTGGCCCTCTTGGAGGCCATCTTGGGCCGTCTTCGGGGATTTGTTTCCGGACATTGGGGCTGTTTCTGGGCCTTCCGCGGGGCCAGTGCGTTGGGCCGATGGCCTGAGCACGCCAGACACTCCTGTGGCAGCTCCACAGGGTGCGGCGGATCGAAGACGCCTACGGCGAATCACCGCCGCCCCCTGCCTTTTGGAATCGCCCATGTGTCCGAGCGTTGTGGCAAGAGCTCTGCCAAGCTATCGAGCCATGCGTTCCCCCAGCCGTTGTAGAATTCCTCCGGGGAAACATTTGGGGGAAGATGACGGGGAAGATCAGGAGGAGGAGGAGGAGGAGGAGGAGGAGGAGGCGGAGGAGGAGGAGGAGGAGGAGGAGGGGGGCGGCATCTTGGGAGCCTCTGGGGGCACTCTTGGGGCATCCTGGGAGCTTCCTGGGAGTCTCTTGGAGGCATCTTGGGAGCCTCCTTGGGCCTCTCGGGTGCCTTGGGGGCTTCTCGGGTGCCTTGCTGGCCGTCTTAGGGCATTCCTGGCCCGTCTGATGCCGTCGGAAGCCGTCTTGGCGGCCTCTCTGGGCCTACTTGGAGCCCTCTTGGGGTGCTCCAGGGCCGTCTTGGCGGCCACCTTTGGCGTATTCGAGACCTGGGCCCTCTTGGGGCGTTCTGGGGCAATCTTGGAGGCCTCTTGGGCGATCTTCGGGCGATCCTTGGGGGCTCTTGGGCCGTCTCGGGTCGTCGGAAGTCCGAACAGAAACGAATGCCAAATACCTAAAAAACGTAAGGATCATCAATGATGTTGGCCTCTTCGGGCCTTTGGAGGGCCTCTTGAAAGTCTCATCGGCCGCCTTGGAGACCTCTTGCGGGCCTCTTGGTCCGTTGTGGGCCATCTGCGAGCCATTGTGGGCCGTCCTGATGGCCTTCTGGCCCGTCTGACGCCCTCGGAAGCCGTCTTGAGGGCCTCTCTGGGCCGACATGTGACCCTCTTAGGGTGCTCCAGGGCCGTCTTGAAGGCTATATTGGGCGTCTTGGAGGCCTCTTGGGCCGTCTTGGGGCCGTCTTGGGGGCCTCTTAGGCCGTTCTGGGGCCATCTTGGAGGCCTCTGGGGTGATCTTGGGGGGATCGTTGAGGGCCCTTGGGCCGTCTCGGGCCGTTGGAAGTCCGAACAGAAGCGAACGCCAAATATCTTCAAATACCTAAGGACAACCAATGAGTTTGGCCTCTTCGGGCCTTCTTGAGGGCCTCTTGGAGGCCTTTTATGCCGTCTTGGGGACATCTTGCGGGCCTTTTGGGCCGCCTTGAACCATCTCGGGGCCCTCTTGGGCCGTCTTGGGGGCCTCTTGGGTCGTTCTGGGGCCATCTTGGATGCCTCTTGGGCGATCTTCGGGCGATCCTTGGGGGCTCTTGGGCCGTCTCGGGCCGTCGGAAGTCCGAACAGAAACGAATGCCAAATACTTTTAAAAAACAAAACGTAAAGATCATCAATGATGTTGGCCTCTTCGGGCCTTTGGAGGGCCTCTTGAAGGTCTCGTGGGCCGCCTTGGATACCTCTTGGGGGCCTCATGGGCCGTCTTGGGCCATCTGCGAGCCACGTTGGGCTATTTTCGTGGCCTCCTGGCCCGTCTGACGCCGTCGGAAGCCGTCTTGAGGGCCTCTCTGGGCCGACATGTGGCCTTCTTGGGGTGTTCCAGGGCCGTATTGGAGGCCATATTGGGCGTCTTGGAGGCCACTTGGGCCGTCTTAGGGCTGCCTTCGGCTTGGAGGCCCCTGGGGCGATCTCAGGCCGATCTTTGGGGGGCTTTTGGGCCGTCTCGGGCCGTCGGAAGTCCGAACAGAAGCGAATGCCACATATCTTCGGGCATCAATGATTTTGGCATCTTCGGGCCTTCTGGAGGGCCTCTTGGAGGCCTTCTATGCCGTCTTGGTGGCCTCCTGGGCCATCTTGGGGCCTTCTGGGAGCGCCTCAGTGCCATCTTGGAGGCCATCTTGGGCGTCCTGGAGGCCTCTTGGACCGTCTTGCGGCCCTCTTGGGGCCATCTTTGGGACCTCTCGGGCCGTCAAGGGGCCGCCTTGGAGGCCGTCAGGGTCATCTTGAGACGATCTCGGGGCCTTTTTTGCCGTCTTGGGCCGTGGGAAGACCGACAAGAAGCAAATGCCCAAACGCTTTCAAAAGCCAATTGGGAACAAATGTTTTTGGCTCTTTCGGATACGTCTTGGAGGCCTCTTGGGGTGTCTTGGAGACCTCTTGGACACTTCTTGGGCTCTCTTGGACCGTGCGGAGACTTCTTGGGCAGCCTTGGAGGTATCTTGGACCCTCTTCGGCCGTCTTGGAGGCCATAACTAAGCATCGTGGGCGAACTTGGAGGCCATCTCGGGCCATCTGAGCCATCTTGGAAAGGGAAAGGCATTGACAGATACACGTTGCTGTCCTTCCCGGGTGGCCGGCGGGACGGGCCGAAGCCCGAGGGGGACTTCTGTTGGACAAGGAGCCAGAACCAAACCGTGTAGGATCTAGCACACCAGGCAGCCCTGAGGCGAGACGACAGGGGGCGGCGGATTCGAGTGGCCTTCGGCCCATCCCGCCACCGCGCCTGTCTTGTAGGTCAGAGGCCCCTGGGGTGCCTGGGGGGATCTCTCGGGAGGCCTCTCGGAAGCCTCTTGGATTCCGTTTTGGGATTTCGGGGTGTTTGGGGGCCCGCGGGAGTTTCTTTGTGGCCCTGTTTGGGCCTTTTGGGGGCCTCCTCGAGTTTGTGGGGACCTTTGGGGGGCCTGCTGGCGGTCTCGGGGGCCATCTTGGGGCGAAGGGATTTCCCTATGGGCCTTCTCTGGAGCCCCCCTTTGGGGCCCTGCATCAGCCCAGTAAATGTTCCTTGGATGTTCACCACGCCGCTCGTCAGCAAAAGTCTGCACAAGTAAAACGATGCCGTAGACGGCGAAAGGCCAGCAGAAGGCCGGCGCAAGTAAAGGACATTCCTTCCGAGCCCCCTGTTACCCTCCTTAGCAGGACCGCCAAGAAGATTTGAGCATGTGGGTTCCTTGCCCTGATGTCGACGATTTCAACACCTGCTGAATAGAGGATGGAGAGAACTCTGGAAGTCTGGGGAACACTCCACCTCGTGCCGCGAGGCACGGTGGCGGATGCATCCGTGTACAGTGCGAGCGAGGAAGGGGGCAGGGAGACGATTTCTCTTGTGGGCCTCACGGTGGCCCCAGTTCGCACACTGCTGAGTACGACACCCGCGCGCCCCGACGGAGCTTGAAGATGGCCGGAGCAGCCCACGAGTGTCAGGAGAGGAAAAAACACACAGACACGATGAATCGTCGATTCCCCAGAGAATTTGGCAAAACATGGGAAATGAGGGGAAGACGAACACCCCAAAAACATATGAAAACACATGGGGAATCTGTTTATTTGTGTGTACTTATTTGTGTGTCCTGGGGCCCCTTCAAAGTGCTCTGCCCCCCCTTGCCGGCGACGCCCCCCGCCCAGAGGAGTACAACAGCGGCCTGATGTTCTACGAGCCCGACGTGAAGCGCTTCGGCGCCGCCCGCCCTCCCCCCCGCGGCCCCCCCGCCGAGCGCCGCGCGGCGTCCCCGCCGCACCTCGCTCGGCACGGCGGTGTCGCTGGGCTGCTGCTCCTCCTCCTCCTCCTCCCCCTCCTCCTCCTCCTCCCCCTCCTCCTCCTCCTCCTCCCCTCCTCCTCCCTCCTCCTCCTCCTCCTCCTCCTCCTCCCCCTCCTCCTCCTCTCCTCCCCCTCCTCCTCCTCCTCCTCCTCCTCCTCCTCCTCCTCCCTCCTCCTCCTCCCCTCCTCCTCCTCCCCCTCCCCTCCTCCTCCTCCTCCTCCTCCTCCTCCTCCTCCTCCTCCTCCTCCTCCTCCTCCTCCTCCTCCTCCTCCTCCCCTCCTCCTCCTCCTCCTCCTCCTCCTCCTCCTCCTCCTCTCCTCCTCCTCCTCCTCCTCCTCCTCCTCCTCCTCCCCCCGTGCTTCCCCAGGCCTCCCGGGCCTCCGCGGGAGAGAGAGGCGCGGCGGGCGGCCCTCCTCGCAGGCTGCGGCCTCCCGGGGGGCAGTCGCCGGGGGCCCCCCCCGCTCCGCCTGGGCCTGCTGCTGCTCCACTGCGCGCTGTCGGGCCGCTCGTTGCGAGCCGGTTCGGTCTCGGTGGGTCTCGGTTTGAGTCGGGCGTGTGCCTCTACAGGGGGAATGTTCACAAACAGTCCAAAAAATAGTCCAGGGATGAGTTTCTGACTATATTTGATAATTTGTGGTGTATTTTTGGAGTATGTTTTATCTTGCGTCCAAAATCCGCCTGTAGGGGGACACGCCCGACGTAAGTCTCGGTTGGTCTCGGCTTTGCTGAAGCTTCGGCCGGTCTTCGGCTTCGCTGTCGCCGCGGATCAAGCAGTGGCGCAGCGCCCTGGTTTGTCTGTAGGCCCACCAAAGACTGCTCTGAGAACCCTCTGTGGTCTGCACGGCACGTTCCCAGAACAGTTCTGGCTGAGACCGTCCCATTCTGAGACACCGGCTTTTTGTTCCAAGGACATGGGTTTTATTCGTAGTGTGCTCCTGGGAGGTCCAGCGGAATGGAGCTATACGCTCGCCCAGGCGAGACCTCGCGGTGCTCTGGGGGGCTGCCCTGGGGCGATTGGCGGGATGATGCGGCCGATCCTCCTCCTTCCCGCTTCCCTGCCCAAGCATGCTCGTGATGCTGAGTCAGCCCGCCTCATGCTCCCGTCGCCGCCCGAGCCGCCCCGGCAGGACGGCCACGGGGAGGGAGACGCGGGGGCCGCCTCATCCAATTCGCTTGCGTAACTTATTTATCCTGAGACTCCGGTCGTCGTTCATGCACATAGGGGAACAACAAGTGGCATAAACATAAAACTCTCGGAGGTCCGCGCGGATTTCTCGGATCGGCGCTGGGGCCCCCCGGCGGCGCCTCCGGCGCCGCCCCTGGCGCGCTCCGCGCGCCATGCAGGGAGGGGGGTCCAGCGCCGATCCGAGAAGTCCGCGCGCGGACCTCAGAGAGTTTATGTTCATGTCACTTCTCGTTCCCCTATGTGCATGCTCGCATGCCTCCCTCCTCCCTCCTCCCCCCTTTCCTGCGGGGTCCGCTCCTCCTTCCCGCTGCCGTCTGGCGGGGTGGGGGCGGCCGCTGCTCTCCCGGCAGCGCCGCCGTGCGCGCGCGCCCCGCCGCCGCGCACAGCGCACATGCTGGAGCTGATCGCGGAGCACAGCGACGGGGAGGCGCCTCCTGCGGCCGCCAGCCAGGAGTCTTCGGGAGGAGAAAACACACGCAGACGCAAGTAATCGTCGATCCCCAGGAAAGTATCGAAAATATGGGAAGTGGGGGGGAAGACTCAGAAAATATGGGGAATCCTTTTATTTGTGTGTATTTATTCTTGTGTCCCAGGGCCCCTTCGAGTCTGCCGAGCGGGGCTCGGACGAGGGCAGATCCGTTCCACAGCGTGCCGGGACGCTCTGAGAGCGTTCTGGAACGCTCCGAGTGGGCCGCGGCGCCGGGAAACAGCGTCCAGAGCCGCCGGATCTTCGAGATTCTGGACTTGTCCTCACCCGGGTTTATCCTCGCCCTGGCTTCGTCTTATAGATCGGGTCAGCGTAGATGGGGTTGGAGGGTCGCGCCATATAGCCACTGCATCGGCGATGCGGCTCGATGCGGGGCCCGATTTTCTCCACGCCGTCGTCGCCGCGCCGACGTCGGCGACGCATCGCCGATACATCGCCGATGCACTGGCGATGCGGCGCGATCCTCCGACCCCACCTACTCGGACCGCATGTATGAGGCCTCTACTTCTGCGGCCGCGGGTCAGGAGGGAACGATAGTTCGCGGGCAGCGTCAGGGGGGGAAGGGCTCAGCGTGAGGGGAGATAGGCTTCGGGTGAGCAACCTCGAGGTTCGGAGCTTGGGGTTTTCGGATGTTTTCGTCGGTTCTCGGCGGCTTTCCATCCTCGGGGTGCTCCTCAGCAGCTGTGCCTCGCCGAGGGCGTTCCAGGGGTGCCGGAGTCGTCCGTAACGGTTGCCCGAGGCCCGAGTTGTGATTGGAAAAGTTCGGCGGGGGAGGAGGGGGCTCATGGGCAGCGTTAGGGGGGGAGGGGCTCAGGGGGGAACGCGTCGACCCCCGATCGGCTTTTCATCGCCGACGGGGCGCCGAGGCGAGGAGGACGAGGAGGAAGAGGAGGAGGAGGAGAGGAGGAGGAGGATTGGGCGCGTGGAGGAGGGGGACAACAGTGGGAATATTTTGAAGCGTGCCAAAGCACCATTCTTAAGATTTCAGCGCCACAAGGCAACCTGACTGTTACGTCTCGGCGATCCTGAATCGTGCCAGAACGCAATTCCTGGGACTTAGCACAGCGAGTCAATGTAACCGTTGCGCCCTGACAATCCTGAATCGTTCCAAGAAGCGCTTCTGGCACGTTAACCAAAACAGCGAAGCTCTTGCAATAGCTTGAAAAGAATGTGCGCGGCGCTAACGCAAGAACCACATGCTGAAACCCACCCGCCCTCAATCCGCTAAAGTCTCCTACATGTATGAAACGAATGTGTGGGGCGCTAAGGCGAGAGCCACATTTTGAAAAGGAGCCGCTCTCAATCCGTGAAACTCATGCAATGTTTGAAAACGAATGTGCGCGGCGCTAAGGACAGAGCCACATGTTGAAGAGGAACAGCTCTCAATCCGTGAAAGTCTTGCCACTTTTAGAAACGAGTGTGCGCGGCGCCTTGATGAGAGCCACAGTTTGAAAACCACCCGCCTTCATTCCGTGAAGCCCTTGCAAATGCTTAAGACGAACGTGCGCGGCGCTAAGGCGACAGCCACATGTTGAAAATGAGCCAGTCTCAATATGTGACGCTCTGGCAAGTTGTTCAAAACGAATGTGTGGGACGCTAAGGTGACAGCCACATGTTGAAAACGAGCCGGCCTCAATCTGTGAAGTTCAGGCAAGTTGTTTAAATCGAATGCGTGGGACGCTAAGGCGAAAGCCACATGTTGAAAACGCCCCGCCCTCAGCCCGTGAAACCCCTGCAGAGGTTTTGGACGAATGTGCGCGTTGCCGAGGCGAGAGCCACAATGTTGGAGGCGGCCCGCCCTCCATCTGAGAAACGGTCGACAACTTTGAAGCAGCAGGGTCTCACGTGGAGAGGAAAAGTCTCAGGCGCAACGCCCAGCCTGCCCTCTCGACCAGGCTCGGGGTTAGACCGGGAGGAGTTCTCCAGAAGGGGAAGGAATACAGGAGGAGGAGGAGGAGGAGGAGGAGGAGGAGGAGGAGGAGGAGGAGGAGGAGGAGGGGGAGGGGGAGGGGGAGGAGGAGGAGGGAGGAGGAGAGGAGGAGGAGGAGGAGGAGGAGGAGGAGGAGGAGGAGGAGGAGGAGGAGGAGGAGGAGGAGGAGGAGGAGGAGGAGGAGGAGGAGGAGGAGGAGGAGAGGAGGAGGAGGAGGAAGGGAGGAGGAGGGAGGGGAGGAGGGAGGAGGGGGGGGGAGGAGGGGGGGGATGAGGAGGAGGAGGATCGGCCGCATCGGCCCGCAATCGCCCAGTCGTCGCCGCTGGGGGCGCCTGACGGCCCAAAGCCCGCCCGGGAGCGCGCGGCCTCGGGGGCCTGCCGCCGATCCGTCGGCGATGCACACCTGACTTCGGGTCGAGGCTTCCCTCCTCCTCCTCCCTCCCCTCCTCCTCCTCCTCCTCCTTCCTCCTCCTCCTCCTCCTCCTCCCTCCCTCCCTCCTCCTCCTCCCTCCTCCTCCTCCTCCTCCTCCGATGTATATGAAGGGGCCCTGGGACACACAAAAATAAAGACACACAAATACAACTATTCTCCATATGTTCCTACATTTTCTGTTTTTTTTTGTCTTCCCCCCACTTCCCATAGTTTCCCATCTTTTCTGGGGAATCGACGATTCATTGTGTCTGTGTGTTTGTTTCCCCTCCTGAGTATACCCGACTGCGGGTCGAGGCTTCTCTCCCTGAGCGGGCCCCCCCCTGCGGCTCTCCTTCAGAAGTGTCCACGGCACGCCGCCGTCGGGATCCCGTCCGCGTGGACCCTATGTTCACTGTCGTTCGAGGGCATGGTGTTTTTTTTCACCATCCGCAGCACGCGGCGGCGTACCGCTGACATTGTCTCTAGCTCCCCTGCCCTTGGGGGCGGGGTGGCGACCTGACTTGGCCCGTCGGGCCAGGCGAGACGCACGGCCAGAGAGTTGAAAGGATCGGGGGGGCAGGGGCCCAGAGCCAGTCCAGAAAGGCTGGACCTCCCGTGCATGGACATTGCATTCGAACCCCGTGGCCCAAGATGCCCCCCCGACTCCCCGAGATTAGCATTGATGGCGTGGCGACGGGGGGGGCGTGAGTGGACAGAGGTATTCGAACCCCAAAGCACCGCCTTCACTGAGATCAACACATTGATGTCGGGGGCGCGGGGGTGATTTAGAATCTCCCTCGAATGTGTGAGGGTTCGAATAGATTGTCCATCTTCTGTCCCAGGGTATGGAAGGAATGCGTCTCTGCGAGACAATCCCTTCGCAAGCCTAGATCGAGCCGCCCTCCCTGGTCTGGTGAGGGCTCTCCTCCGTCGAGGATGCAGAGATCCATGACATCCAGCGGATTGGCTTTCATATCCAGGCGGGGCTTGCTCTAGGGTCCAGCTGCACTCAGGCATGGCCCTGGGGAATGAGTCGGATGAGGGCAGGGCGACGACGGAGATACGCCGCTCCAGAGCGTTCAGGACCGCTCTCTGAGCCTTCTGGAGTTCTGGAGCACTCTGGGACGGCCGCGGGGCCGGTGCACCCTCGTCCCCTCTCCTCCTTGCCCTAATTTTGGAGCCCCCTTGCTGCATCTGTTCCTGCCCAGGCTTCCTCGTTCGTCTCTGGCCCCCCCCTTCCCCCTTCCTTCCTTTCCAGTTCCTGCCACTCATTATGCTGGCACGGGCGCGCACCGATTCAAGCACAATCCTCAGAACGGTCAGGGTGTTCTCCATTTTGGCGCCAACGCCGAGCATATCCGCCCTCAAAAGTCGGCGACAGCTGGCGCGTCTGAAGACTTGGCATCGTTCGGACATGTGCGTGTTTTTCCGGCGAGGACCCTTGAGGAGCCTCTTGGGCAATCCTGCGGAAAAAGACACGCACGAAGCCGTAACATGCACGAGGAATGGACGTCCGAGCGATGGCAAGGAAAAGCGTCCTCGCGAGGGCCGTCGGCTTCGTCCACGCAGTGAAGTTGCTCCTCGGGGGTCGGAGAGCTCTTCGCAGTTCCAGCGGCGCAGGGCAGCCGCCAGTGGCCTCCAGGCCGGCCCCGAGGTCCTCTCGCGGGGCGCCGTGTTGGGATTCGGGAAAGCCTTCTGGGCGCGTCCCAGTGTGGCGCGCTCCAGACAGGGTCTTGCCCTCGAGGATGTGATGGTTTTCTTATTCATTGTTTTGCCGATCGGCGCGGGCCATCGCACCCCCCCCTTGGAGTAGATCTTGGCTGTTTTGGGCTTCTGTGTCGAGCAGGTGAAGCCTCCTCCATAGGAAACAGTCGCAATAAGCAGAGATCCAGAGCCAGTCCCCGTCCTCCCCCTCCCTTTTCTGCCCAATATCGAAATGCCGAATAAGAAAATGTTCACGATCGAATGAATTGGCATCTCTTCCTCCGCGGAATGCGGGTAAGGTTGGCAGAAGCCGGCGGAAGTGAAACGAGGGCGGCGCCGTCGGCGGAAGCCGGCGGAAGTAAAAGATGTGTTTTCAAGAGGTTGCAGTATTTAGGGGTTCAGGGTTTGAATCGGCCATGTGTATCGACCCGAGCCCCAACGCTTTCTCAGAGGGTCGACGTCAGGATCCAGGGAAATCCAGCAAGGCCCCACAGCACTCTCGAACTGCCCCAGCACGTCTCCTGTGGCTCGCGGTGCTCTGGTGTTGTCTCTTTGTCTCGGCCTGCCTTCGGCTGCGCGTGTGAAAGGTTACCCTTCGACGGAGTGACCTTAGGTGCTGGCTCACAGGGGTCCTTCCGGCACTGGTTTGCGCGCTTGGATTTTGCCCTCTCCCCCCCCCACACCCCCACACCGCCCCAAGCACCCACTGCACCCGCCCACCCAACCCACCAACTACCCCGCCCCACCCACCCGTGGCCTCCTAGCGCCGCGCTCCAGAGGGTCACACTCATCAGAGCGTGAATTCTTACCCCGCTTTCGCTTCCAGGCAGAACCAAGCCGTACCACGCGCCTCCTCGTGGAGCGGCCTGGCCAGATACAGGCTGCAGTTTGGCATCGTTTGGTATCTCTTGGAAGCGAGGGTGGTCAAAAGCGAGGTAGGTTTGTTTTCCCCCTATCTCCTGCACGTGGCCCCTTTCGCGTGAAGGCGGATGGGACTGCCGCCGCCGCGTCCGTCCGCGCGGGAGCGGCCCTGGCCCGTCGCGCAGGTCGGGGACATCCTGGACCAGCGCATCATCAATGAGGAGACTACTGCCGCCTCCTCTCGCTCCCGGCTCCTCTCTCTCTCTCTCTCTCTCCCCTGCCGTGCCCGGCGCGTGCGAGAACATGTCCAGCACGTGGGGCTATGTGGAGTCCTCGAGATGGCGCCGGTGCACTCAGGTCGAGGCCCCAGGCTACAGCTTGGCATGTTCACTGCGGATGCTGGCGGAGTTGCAGTCGAAGCTGACACGAATGACGCTCGACTTCCCAAAAAGGGTACCCTTGTGCGTCCTTGCCTCTTGGGTCGTCCTCGGTCCGTCCTCGAACACTTTCGATGGCCGGCTCCGCTTGAAGGGCTTCAGCATGGGCGTCCAGGGTCCTTGCCTCCTTGCCGCGCATTCTCACGATCAGCGTTGCCTGCATCACCATTGCCAAGCAAACTCAGCGCGGAGGCCGCGGCGGCGACCTGGGAGCTGCGGCGGAGGAGCAGTTGGAGGAGCGGGCGGAGGGAGAGCCCGGAGCAGCGGCGCGCCGGCCCGCTCGGGAGGGGGAGGCGTGTCGAAGTGGTTGGCTGGGGCGAGAAATCCGTCCGCGGTTCGGTCGGCTCGGCTGCGCCGCACTGGCCGTGTGTGCGTCGCCCCCCAGGGGCGACGCGCGCGCGCCGAGAAATCTTCTGTTATCAGCGCCTGGGCGGGCGCTTTCTGGCCATGCCGCCCGGGAAACGATATACTACAACATGTGCGTGCTATGTGTTTTGGTCGGGTGCACGCCTCCAGGGAGGACGCAGTACTAGGATGTCCTTCTGCGTCCCGTCGCAGTCGGTCGTGTTCGGTCGCTTCGGGTCGGTTCGGTCAGCTGTTATGTCGTTGCTGCGTCGCTGCTGCGCGCTTCCAGGCTGCTGCTGCTTGCGGCCTGTGGGTCTCGGTCGGTTTCGGTCTCACTGTCGGTTCGGTGGGTCTTCGGCTGTGCTGTCGCTGGGAGCGCCGATGGGGGAGGCGGGGGGGGGGCCGGTGCCATGGGCTCTCCCACCAGGGTTCGCCCGCCAGCGGAGGGCCAGAAGCCTCAAATGGCCCCCAGGAGCAGCGCGAAAGGATTCTCAAATCACCACCCACCAGACCACCCCGACCCAACCCGAAGGCTTCAATGTGCCCTCCATTTCTGGTTGGGGGGGGTGTCGGGGAACATTGAAAAAAAGACATGGAACCCGTACCCCCACAACCAGAAATTCGGGTCTTCGGGTTGGGTTGGGGTGGTCTGGCAGATAGTCATTCGAGGGCCCCATGAGCAGTGGGTTCGCGTCGTGTCGACCAGCGGCGACCCCGCCGCCGGCGTTCAATGTTGAACGCCGCTGAGGACACAGAATCGGTCGATTTTGAACGATCCAGCGTTCTGGAAACCGCCGATCGTCCGAGGTTGAACGACCCCTTCGGTGTCAGGAACCAACGCCCAGGTCGTCACGACACGAGCCTGCCTTACATGTACACAAGCCTTCGGTGGTCCTCGCGGATGTCCTGGATCGACGCGGGACCCCGCGCTCCAAGGCACGGGGCGCGCTGCGTGCCGGGGGGGGGCGGCGCCCGAGTCTCTGCCAGAGGCGTCCAGCCTCGGCTCGAGAGATCCGCGCAGACCTCCGATCGGGGGCGGCAGAGAGGGGGGGGGGACTAGTGACTAGAGGGGGGGGAATATCATGGCGGGGCCACGGTGTCTCCCCAGATGTCATGGCAACTTTTCTGGTCGGCGACCCCCGGGGCCGCGCACATGCCGCCGGCCATGATTTGCGCCCCCCCCATCTTGGACGCCCCCCTCTTGGCCGCCCCCGATCCGAGACTTTTTGTCTGGTTCTGTGAATGTCGGTTCTTCACGCTGATCGACGAAAGTCTGTATTTTCTCAAGGGCATGAAAAACGCCCCTACCCTGGTTTACGTGGCGCCGTGCGCTGAACCTCCTGTGGGCTGACAGGGTGAACCCTGCGTGATGTGCCGCGCCCTGGCGACTCTAGGCTCTGGGGGGTCCCAGGAGGTTTACAGACCACGTACTTGTAACCCAGGGTAGGGTCGTTTCTTCACCCCTCAATTTTTTCGGGGGAGCGTAAGACCCGGGTTTGCCGGGACTCGGGTTCGCCACCGTTTTTTGACGACCGCGCCTCGGATTTTGACGAGGTGGAGTTTCGTGGGATGTCTGCAGCGGGAGGCCTCGTCAAAATGCAGGCTCGGCCTCGTCATTTTTTTGACGACCTCGTCGGGGATTTCCGAGTCCCCCGTACCCGGGTCTTACGTCTCCCCGATGTTTGGACTCTCAGATCCCCGTCTGCTTCCGCAGCCTTCCCGGCTTCAGCGTCGAGCAGGGGGCGGGCGGAAGGAAGCCCAGTCCCTCTCCAAAGCGCCTTCTGGCCTCCTGTGTCGACGCACCTCTTCCGACCGACGTGGTGCTGCTCTGGAGAGGGCGGGGGGCGGGGGGGAACAAGAAGCTACCGATGCCGCTGCTCCCGAGGAGACCTCTCCCGAGGGCGCGGGCAGTGCGAGGCGGGGACCTAAATCCACGTCCACCGCCTGCCCAGGTCCTGGAAGATCGACCCCCCGGCACGCCTCGCAGATCCGCCTCGCGGAGAGCGGCATCGGCATCTCTTCCTCCACGGCAGCCCGACGTCCCGAAGCAAGTGCAAGACGGTAACAGCATGTCGGCCAGGGTCTGGGGCCCCATCTGCCCGCAGCAGTTCTCGAGTTGGGTCGATCTCTGATGATCCCGGGGCCCGACACCGCGCGAAAACGCCCTCCGTGAAAGAGTTGCAACGCCAGGATCTCAGGGATGGCGGTATCAGCTTCTCTTCCCCCTGACGGGAAAGCGTGCGCACAATCAGTGCAGCGGCCCTGACCCAGCCTGCATCGAAGCAGAAGAAGCTGAACAAGAAAACGGCATAAACATAAATTGCGGTGTTGCTAGTATCCATGCCTCCTAGATGGGTTCCGAGTAGATTGGGTCGGAGGATCGCGCCGTATCGTCGGTAAATCGGCGATGCGCCTCGATGTGGAGCCCGATTTTCTCCACGCTGGCGTCGCCGATGCATCGCCGATGTCGCCGATGCATCGGTGATGCATCGGCGACGCATTGGCGATGCGGCGCGATCCTTCGACCCCATCTACTCGGACCCCATCTAGGAGGTCTCTATTTACCATCCCCCGCCACAATGTTTGGAGGTCCGAGCGGACCCCAACGATTTATGTTTACACGCCAGTCGTTGAAAGCAAGTGTTCTTGGACTCCCAGATCCCACTCTGCTTCGAGCGCCTCCGTGCTTCAAGAATCGACGGGTTCTGCTTGCTGTGTGTGTGTGTTTTTACCCTTTGGGCGGGACCAGACCTACTCCTTCATGTTTCTACCTGCCCCTTCCGACTGGCCAGGATGCAGTTGTTTGTTCTTCTGCAGCAGGCGTGCGCGCAGCGCGGGCTGTGTGCCGTCCGTCCTGTCCTGCTGTCCTCTCGGCTCGGGCACGGGACCAGACACTGCGCCCGACCTTCCCCGGGCGAGGGGGGAAGGTCAAGGTCAAGGTCAAGCCTGCATGCCCGCGAAGGGGCGGCCGCTGAGGGCACAGGCGGGTGAAAACTGGCAGACGCTCACGTGGTGAAGAACATCTCCTGTCGTGCAATTCCGAGAATGTGGGTCTCTGGCTGCTACTCTCCATCTCTCCCCCTCGTTGCCCTCCACCTGCGAGCCCTACACCTTAGGCGATGCTTAAGAAAACTTGAATTTTCGGCCAGAGTCTCGATTATTCTTAACGTTTCAATGTAAATCCTAAGATTTGAATGGAAATGTAGGGTTTTTATTCAAGTTCTGAGACTATGAATTTCTTAACCCATGATTTCTTAAGCATTTCGCAGGGTGTACGGCAGCTTTGGCCCTTCGGCCGTTGGCCTCCGCTCGCACGCGCCGCCCGGCCGCCCCGCCGCCGAGAGGGCGCGCGCCCGTTCGGCGGCCGCTGGCGGCGGGCGTGCGCCCTCCCCGCCCGCGGCGAGAGCGCGCTCTCGCCGGCGCGCGCCCCCGCCGACGTGGGGCCCGCCGGGGAGCGGCGGCCACCAGGGGGCCCCTCCTGGCAGCGCTCGGGCGCGTGCGCTTGGTTCCTCGGCGGGGGCGATCTCGAGGAGCAGCTGTTTCTCCAGGAGGGGAAAAAACACACACACAGACACAACTGATCGTCGATCCCTTATTAGGAAGAGATGGGACAGTATGGGAAGTGGGGGGGAAGACAGAAGCCCAGAAAACGTGGGAAACTATGGGGGATCCTGTTCTTCGTGTGTATTTATTTATTTGTGTGTGTGTGTGTCCCAGGGCCCCTTCATGTCTGTGCGCCCCGCGACGAGGTGCGCGCACGGGGCCGAAGAGCGCACGGGGGCCGGGCGTCCGAGCGACGGCGAGGGGCGCGGGGTTCGGCCCGGGGGGCGCGGCTTGCGATCGACGCCGAGGGGGCCCGGGGCGCACGAGGCTGCCCTCGTCGGGCCTCCTCCTCCTCCTCCTCCTCCTCCTCCCTCTGCTCCTCCTCCTCCTCCTCCTCCTCCTCCTCCCTCTGCTCCTCCTCCTCCTCCTCCTCCTCCTCCTCCTCCTCCTCCTCCTCCTCCTCCCTCTGCTCCTCCTCCTCCTCCTCCTCCTCCCTCTGCTCCTCCTCCTCCTCCTCCTCCTCCTCCTCCTCCTCCTGGAGCTCTCCGTCGAGGTCCCCGCCCGCCCACCAGGGTGCCCCCCAGTTGGCGGGTTGCAAGCCGCACCCATTTGCAAACCATGGCGGGAGCACCGATTTTCGGAGCTTCGCGCGGAGTTCCTGGATCGGCGTTGGGCCCCCCTGGCGGCGCGCTCCGCGCGCCAGGGAAGGGGGTCCAGCGGCGCGGATCCAAGACGTCCGCGCAGACCGTCGAAAGTTTATGTGTACACCGTTTTCCCTTCCTTCGTGTCGATCGGAGCCTGTCCGATTCGGCATCGGTTTCGGCCGGCCCGAACCCACTCGATATCCCGATGTGCTGGCGATGCGAGCTTCCGCCCATCCGCTTCTGCCGATCAGGCGCTGGGTGGTCCTGCCTGCCCCGGAGGGGCGGAAAAGGCGGTCGACGGAGCCGCCCGAGAGTCAGCAGCGAGCTCCGCAGAATGCCTCTGCAGCACCGGCCCGCGCGGCTCTTACTCGGACCAGAGGACGGGCCGACAAAGCGAAGCGGGCCAGGCGAGGGAAAGGACAGGAATCAGAGGAGGAAAAGGTACCCATACCTCTAACCCTCCCCTCGTTTTCCCCTTTTCGGGCCTCCTCGGAGGCCCTCGTCGACACCGTTGGATTCGCTTCGAAATCCTGGTCAGAACGCACCCCGGGAGAGGTCCAGGGAGTAGTGGTATCAGTACCTTTTGGTCACCCCAAGGACAGGACAGGCCGGGCCGATAGACAGAGGGAGGCGGAGACGGAGAAGGGCAGCCACCGGGGAGGAAATTCAAGACACATTGGCAAGGGAACGCAAGCGCAAGGGGCAAAGGGACGGGGCGGGGGAGGGAAGCAGAGGAGCCAGAGGCCAGAGCCACGGCAAGCCAGGAGGAAGACACAAGGCCAACGCACACGGGAGGAACACGCAGAAGGCATCGCTACGAAGTGCACATTCGAGCATTCACCGCCTGCACTGCTGCATCATTACGCCTGCGGCGCCACCGCCCACAAACACGCATTCAGAGCGGCATCAAATAAGGAGGGGGAGGGGAGGGCCAGACGGCCCCAAAAAGGCCCCAAGAGGCCCCCAAGACGCCCCAAGAGGCGCCCAAGAGGCCCCAAAGAGGCCCCAAGAGGCCCCAAAACGGCTCCCAAGAGGCCCCCAAACTCGGCTAGCCCACAACGGTGCGACAATATGGGCCGGCGGAATGAGCGAAGCGATTAACAAGGAGGGGGAGGGGAGGGCCAGACGGTCGCTCCGCCTACACCTCTTCCTGCGTGTGCGTGGCCCGGAGGATCTGCCGGACCACCAGCGGCACGCCGCGCGCCAGCTTCGGTGCTGCTCTCTTCCTGATGGCCCGCGCCGTGCTATCACCGCTGCCACGCGGGAAAGCGGCTCTCTCCAGACAGAGGCTGCCTCCCGGCACTCCTTGGCCCCCACCGCCGCCGCGATGGCCCGGAAACCGCGGCGGCGGCCGTGGCCATTCCGCTTTGCGTCCTGTGGACGAGGCCAGGAAGCCGGCAGCCTGCTGCCATGCACTGCTGCTCCGTGTTCTGGTCTGGTCGGTCGGTGCGATTCCTCTGCTCGTACCTCTCTTCCGCCGCGCTGGCGCCTGTAGCTCTATCTTGCCAATGACAATGACTCGCCCCAAAAATCAGATGACTGCGAATTCAAAGCAGACAGGCTCTGTCCGGATCGCGCGCGAGCCGTCCAGAAGTCGGGGGCGGCCAAGAGGGGGGTGATGACTAATTTCATGGCGCCTCTTCCTATGTCATTACGTCCACAGCCCCCCCCTGCGCCGCGCACATGCCGCTGGCCATGATTTGCGCCGCCCCCTCTTGGCCGCCCCCCTCTTGGAAGGCGCCAGGACAACGCCAGCGCGGGGATGCACACACGTCTACCAGCCTTCGCCCGCTGTCCTGCCTGGGCACTGCCTGCAGCACGCGGGACGCTTCGCTCACATTGCGGAGCCCCGCCCGCTCGCAGAGATCGAAATGCACGTCTCGCACGCCATCGTGCTGGGCCGTGGCGTCCCCTCCCGGACACGCACGACGGCGCGTGCGAGCCGCCCGAATCCAACAGCTCGCACAGCGGGCACGGGACGGCCCCATCCACGACGTCGACGCCAGGACGAAGGGCGACCGTGGTCGCGAGATCGTCTTGGAAGAGGTGCGTGCCAAGCGCCTTCGATGGTACCATACCCAGTTCCTGCCCGCTGGCAGGGGCTGAGAATGCGTTGGCGTGCGCTGCCTCCGCAGGCCTGGCGGCCTCCCTCCACCAGCGGGCGTTGAAGGCGCCGATATCTTCATTGAGTTTTTCGTCTGCGTGATCACGACGGCCGAGTCCTCGCTCAGCACGCTCGCGTCGGGCAGTTTCGGCGCCAGCGAGTCGACCGCCGCGCGCAGCAGCGGGTCGCGGCCTTGGCCGAGACCGCGGTGTTCTGGGCGGATCCCGACGCAGAGTCCGTGGGTGGCAGACCGGGACGCGACGTACGCCGCGTCCAGGCGCTCTGCCACCGTCCGGAGGCCAAGTCCGCCCTGCTTCGTGTGTTGCTCGAAGTGCCCCTGGCCCGAGGTGCCCCCAACGGCCTCCAGAGCACCCCTCACGAGGCCCAGGGGGCTCCAGGGGCTCCAAAATGGAGCGAAAAGCTGGGTGTACCCTCGGGCCAGGGGCGCCTTCCGCAGCTTCCGACGCACTGCTCGACAGCGAGGGCGGTGCGGGCCGAAAACACACACGCCCGCCCACGGCGGCAGGGAGACTCGCCCCGCTCACCCCTTGCAGGGCCGTCGGCCTCCGGGCTCCTCGGGCCAGGGAGCGTACGACCCGAGCGTGCTGGAGCTCGAACTCGCTGTCGCTTTCTGACGACCGCGTCCTGGAAGCTTGAGGGTCCGGTTTTCGTGGGATGTCTGCAGCGGAAGGTCGCGTCAGATTTCAGACTGGGTCGCGCCATTGTTATGACTATGATGGCCTCGGCGGGTCGACCCGAGCCCCCCGAACCCGAGTCTTGCGTCTCCCCGATCGAGGGCAGCGGTTAGGAGGGGATGGGCTCAGGGGGGGGAGCATCGCCCAGAGCGGTCCCAAATCGCCCACTGATCGACCACGGGGGCCCGATAGCCCACCGCGGCCCAGAAGCGTGGGGATTCACTCTGGGGACCTCTCGCCGGCGTCTATCGGCGACGCATCGCCGATTCCAGGTCGATGGTTCCCCCCCTGAGCCAGCCCCCCCCTGACGTCGCCCCTCATGCAGGAGTGAAAAATAGACGCAGATACACGTAAACGTCGCTTCCCACGGAAATATTGGAAAATACGGGAAGTGGAGGGGAAGACGAGAATCCAGAGAACATGGAAACATAGAGGGAATCCTGGGATACGTGGCTGTTGATCTGTGCGTCCCTAAGCCAGTGTCCCCCCCCCAACGTTTTCCCCCTCTTGGAGGGACGCCCCGTTCGGCCGGCGGCCTCCCGCGTGGCCGCGAGATCGCCGCCGAGGGAGAAGGTATCCCTTCGCCCCTGCGAATGGCGCCGACGTCGAGAACGTGTGCCCGTGCGCAGATCTACGCGGCGCCAGTGTGTCGGCTCCCCCCTCACAGATCGTGGGAGATTTGTGGGCCCACTCGATCTGCTTCCCGCCAGCGAAGACCCGAGGGGCCCACGCCAGAGCCCCACCACCGGCGGCGCTCGAGGAGTTCCGCGACCAGGTGGTGCAGCTGCACGACAAGTTCAACTGCATCGACCTCGTGCCGAAGGCCGCGCAGCGGGGCGTTGCCATGGAGCGAACGGGTCCTGAGGGGAACGGGTCCTGCGGAGTTCTCTGTCTTCGGGTCCGAGGCCCTCCACGGTCTCTGGGACCGTCAGAGAGCAGGACGGCATGGGATAGAGAGCCAGTCTTGGGGAAAGTCCCAGGACACAGGACCCGTCCGCCTCAGGATTAGCTCCCTCCTCCGCCGTCATCTCCCCCTCGTCTACCATCCATCGCCCACTGTCCATCACCCATCCAGCCATACCCCATCCGGGCTCTGTCAATCTTCGGCGCTCCTTGATGATCCTCGTCTTGCAGTGCATCATGCTCGACCGTGGTGGTTCCAAAGTGCGACCCAGGCTCAAGCTCTGGGCTTGATTCAGGAGGAGAAAGAACACACAGACACAATTAATCGCCGACTCCCAGCAAAATATGCGAAAATATAGGAAGTGGGGGGAAGAGAAAAACCCAGAAAATATTGGATAATATGGGGTGTCCTGTTATTTGTGAGTATTTATGTGTGTGTGTGTCCCTGGGCTCCTTTACTGATCTCGCGCTTGGGTAAAATCATTTTGCCCTAAGTTGGTCGGCTCGGCTCTATTACCTGCTGCTCATCACACACCCCGTTCACAGAGACTGCAAAGGCCTCATGGCCTGTCCCGCCGACCAGGAAAAGCGAACAGCTGGGGCGCACGAGGCGGAGGGTGGACGGGCAACGGGCAGTGTTGGCCTCAATGCGAGGGCGGAAATCTGATGGTCCTCGGCCCATCCCGCAATTGCGCATGGGTCGTGTTCCAGAGGCCGTTGGGATGTTTGATTTGGGGGAGCATTGCGCGGCTTCTTCGGGGGGCTCTTGGAGGCATGTATGGCCCACTTGGATGCGTCTTGGGGGCCTCTTGGGGGCCTCGTTGGTGTCTCGAGGTCATGTTGGACGGGTTGGCTCCCAGCGGTGCGGCAGTCGCGTGCGTGTGGGGGCCCTCTTGGGGCCGTCTTGTCAACCCGGTTCGCAGGTAGCCATTCCACTGCAACTGTTTTGGCACAAGTTGTGTTGCCGCTTGTTGCCCTGTTTTCGAGTGCACGATGTCGCGCTGGCCAGATCAAGCTGGCGAGATCATGGATATATTGTTGCCCTTACTGCACGAATCGCAGAAGATATGGGCCACAGTTTGTCTTTGCGCATTACTCTCTGCCGTTGTGTTCTCCAGCCGCAAAAAGGGGTCAGATCGGAATACACGGTCTGCGTATTGCTCATCAGGTCGTAACGATCAAGAGCAGCATTTAGACGCGCGTTTGCAGTGGCCCACAGAAGCAGAACAAGTGAACGTCAAAAAGCTAACCGACAGTTTGAGCCCGAAGGAGCGTGCACTGCTTGAGGCGTCCCCGCCTGATGTGCAGCATATAGTTTTTTTGTCGCGTTTCTTGCGCGGATTGGCAACTTTCGATCTGGCGTTGGAACGATTGAGAGAGACTCTTGCTTATAGGGAAGAGCATGCCGAACAGATACGGCGTGCTCGAGAGCAGATACCACAGGATTCAATGGAGTTTGATTTGGACCACGTCTTGCATGGCGAATCTTTGAAAAAGGGCCTCAGGTTTATCCCCCAGGGGTCGCAGGATGGTTGTTTTGTCGAAGTCATGTGCATTCGCTACATCGAGTTCGACAGGTACTTATCTTGGCCTGTGGACGATGTCCTGGAGTTGATGGTGTCCGTATTGGAGTTGTATTCCGTTGTATTGCACAATCAGAGCGTGAAGCAGCACAAGATGTGCCAGGTGTTCTTTGTCGAAGATGCCTCTGGCTTTCCTGTATCGATTTTGTTCAAACCGCATCTGTGGCTCGTGCAGTGCCGAGCACTTCTGCCTTTAGTGAAATGTTACCCTGAGTTCCTTCACAGGGTACTTATATTCAATGCTTCTGCTGGACTGAAACAGTTCGTTGCCATGTTCGAACGAATTGGAAAGTATTGGTTCAAAAGCTGGTTTCCTGGCCAAGTCAGCGAAGCAGAGTTCGATCACGAGATGCGGAAGTACGATGGCAAGCTCAAGGTGTTGTCCGTGGGGGACTGGGAAGAAGTCGCAGACCTAGCGTCCCTCACAATATTTGAGCAATGGACGTTGGCAGTGCAACTCGAAGACGATCGCGTAGCGCCTGGTCTGGTTGCACCAAGGTCTGTCCAGCTGAGACGAGGAGAGACACTGAAGTGGTCAATCCGGTCGCAAGGTGGAGGTGGACAGCCGCTTGTTGCATTTCTGTCTAGGGAGTCGCGCGATGGCCAGGGCATTCGCGGCGAGAGCCAGCTGCAGGTGTTGTCACACGATTTCGGCTCTGGCACTTTTCTGGCACCGTGTGACGGTGTTGCGGTTCTTGTTTTGGACAATTCTGCTGGATGGACTGCTTTGAAGGATGTCCACATGCAGCTCGAGGTACAGATGCCTCGGGACAACAAGGGGCGGCATGCAGATGACTGCATGCATCACAGTCACGGCTGGACATGCTTTAGCTGCTGCACAGGAAGAGAGCGTGCAATTGTGCACAAACTTTAGGCTGTCACCAGGCATGTGTTTCTTCACCAGAACAATTAGCACTGTGTAGAACATGATCCGCTCATGCCGAATTGGCAGGTGGCGGACAAGTCAATGTGTGTCCAGTCAGGGTGCCCACTTATGGCAGACATGCCAGATTTATCGAACGGATGCCCTATCTGCGATAGCCCACAGCTATGCAGCACATTATGATAAAGACGGGGCCCTGAACAAACGTGTCCCTGCTCCTCATATTCGCGCTCTTAGTTTTTTCCTCGTGCGGCGTTATCCTCGCCTGCCAGCCGCACTGCGCTGGCACTTGCTGTCGTCTGTCCTCCTGTGATTCGGGCGTGTCGCTGGCAGCAGCGGTCGAGAGCTCTCTCGAAGGCTGTGAATAGGAGCACGATCTCCGAAGTACATTGAGGAGCTCAATTCGACCCTGCCAGAATCACCGACCCTGTTTTGTTTGGCAGACTTTTTCGCGCAGCAGCGTGCTGCTGCCACAGGAAAAAAATGTGGCGAACGTCATCCACCGCAGACCCTGAGACCTCCGACGGATCGACCTTCTCGGCCCGCGGGCCGTGGAGGCCTCGGCCCCTGCCTCGGGACTGGCTTTTCATCCCGAGCTGCATCTTGGTGGCTCAAGGGCCCAGAACGGCCCCGATGGGCCGAAATCGAGGAGAAACGCTGGAATGTCAAGGGTGTCCGCGGTCCGGTTGGGTCGGCTGCGTCGCAGTCGGTTGCGTTCGATCGATCCGTGTCGGTCGGTTGTTACATCGCCGCCGCGTCTGTTCGTCCTTCTTGACTTGATGCGGCCTGTCGGTTTCGGCCGGTTTCGGTTTCGCTGTCGGTTCTCAGGAGCCTTGAGACGGGGGTCAGTACAAACGGGGGTCAGCTAGAGCGGCAGATCTTGCAGGATCCTGCAGAGCTAGGGGTGCATTGACCCGGGCTTGCGTGCAGGATGTTGCAGGATCCTGCAAAGCGTGATTGACACGGGTTTGCATTGACCCGGGTCAGTGCGTCCCCGAGGTTCGGTCGGTGCTCGGTCGTATTGTCGCCGAGGACTGCCCTGCGTCTGAAAACGCCGCAGGGCCGGGCCCGCCCCCGAGTGCCTCTGCTGATCGACGCCGTATCACCCGGCGCTCACGGGGGCAGCGGAGTGGCACGCCCCCAGTGCCCCGATGGCCTCGAGGGAGAGGAGCAGGGAGGCATGGAGCGGGAGTAGAAGGGGGAAGAGGTGGAGGGAGGATCGGGGAAACGTAAGACTCGAGTACGCCGGAACCCGGGTTAGTCGACGCTTTTTGACGAGCGCGTCCTGGATTTTGACGGTCCAGTTTTCGTGGGATCTCTTCAGCGGGAGCTCGCGTCAAGTTTCAGATTGGGTCTCGTCACTTTCATGATGGCCTCGTGAGGCCAACCCGGGTAACCCGAGTTCCCCTAACCCGAGCCTTACGTCTTCCCGAGAGGAGGGGAGGGGGAGGCGTCGCCATCAAGCAAGAACACTTACACCCAATCCTCCCCGACGTCGGCACGGCCCACTGGCATGCACCCTAATATGCACCACCATCCAAGGGCAAACGACTTCATGGATGGGGCAGGAGGGGAAGAGGTGAAGGAGAGGGAGGAGGCTCGGAGGAGGGGAGGGGGAGGTGTCGCCATCAAGCAGGAACATTTACACCCAACCAATCCTCCCTGACGTCGGCACGACCCACTAGCATGCGCCCTAGGGCAAAGTCGATTCATGGCCAGCACAGGGAGCAGCAGCAAGAGAGGGCACGGTCGGACCGAGGTATAGGATCGAGGTCGGTTCGGGGAGGGTACCCTAATGTTTTTTGTGATTGTTGGATGCTCTTGCGCATCCTTGGGAGGGAAGCCTTAGATGTTCTGCGCTTTGGCCAGCGGAGGGTCTCGTGTTCTTGAGGGATGTTCTTCTACCCTTAGGGCCGGCTGTATCAAGGACTTCCCGTTGTCGCGGCTCTTCTCGGACTCGCGGCAATCCTTGGATTGCCTCGGAGCTTTCCTGGGCCCAGCTTGGGTTGTCTTGGGGCCCCAGCGTCGATCGTCGAGGATCGAGGTTCGGGAGCGGTTATGGTCCCGTTTCCAGATTTGGGGAGGTCTGCGTGAGCTTCAGGAAACTTCCGCAGACTTCTTGGGACCACCTAACATGTTCTGGAGGACGGACAGGAGGGGGGATGAGGGGGAGGAGATGTTGGGGCACGAGAAGGATGGTGGTGTCATCCTCGCACACCTCCCTGTCAGCCCACCCGGGCGACGCAAACTTGCTGAACATTAGGCACGTGCTGCACGAATATTGGGCGCATTGGGAATCAAGTCAATGATTACTTCAACTTCGAGAGCGTGTCGTCATCATCATCTGCATCTTCAACAACAGCATCAGCATCATCAGCATCATAACCAGCGTCATAAGCAACACCAGCAGCAGCAGCAGCAACATCATCATCATCATCATCATCATCATCATCATCATCATCATCACCATCCCCCTCCTCTTCCTCCTCCTCCTCCTCCTCCTCCTCCTCTCCTCCTCCTCCTCCTCCTCCTCCCCCTCATCATCATCATAATCAGCATCAGCATCGTCATCATCATCATCATCATCATCAGCAGCAGCATCATCATGATCAGCACCATCATCCCCCTCCTTCTCCTCTTCCTCCTCCTCTCCCTCAGAATCATCATCAGCGTCGTCATCATCATCATCACCAGCATCGTCATCATCAGCGTCTTCAACAGCATCATCATCATCATCGCCCTCCGTCTCTTCCTCCTCCTTCTCCCCCTCATGTTCATTATCAGCAGCAGCATAATCACCATCAGCAGCAACATCATCGGCATCATTATCATCAACAGCATCATCAACATATTCATAATCTTCATCTTTATACCATAATCAGCATTATCACCATGATCCTCATCGTCGTCATCGTCATCATCATCATCGGCAGCATCCTGAACATTAGCATCAGCATCATCATTATCATCATTATCCTCATCATCATCACCATCATCGTCATCATCATCATCATCATCATCATCATCATCACCGTCTTCATCATCACCATTACCATCAGCATCATCAGCATCAGCAGCAGCATTAGCAGCATCATCATCATCGCCATCACCATCACTCTCACCATCACCATCGCCATCACCATCACCATCACCATCCTCCTCATCCTACTCGTCCTGCTTATCCTCATCATCATTCATCCTCATGATCATGGTCCTTCGAGCGGCCTCGTGGTGCGGGTGGTCACGATCGAGGGGAAACGGCCAGCGCCAGTGCCGTCGAGGTGGGCGCGGAGGCGGGGCGGTTTTGCTTCTTGAAGGTATGCGTGGGTAGAGCCGGATGCGCTTGTCGAACAGCGCCATGAGGGAAGACCTCGGCGACCGTTGTTGGGGAGAGGTCCCTCCAGGCAAAACAATTCGTATGCAACGAAATACATGCAGTGCCACATTTACGCCAGGATCATGTAGTCACAGTTCGGTCCCATGGTGGTGATGGATTTTCCCTCCGAGATTGTGGGGCCGTCCTCCTTCGTACTCTGAACCCCCCCTTGTATGTCATGGCAAAGAGAGCGTGTAGAAACCGTTGCCGTATTCTAGCCATGGTGTAAGCCATTTGAAGCCAGGTGGTTGTCTCAGTTTTTCTGGTAAGTTCTGTTGTAGGTCACCCCAGCCTCCGTGCAATTAAGACCAACCGCCGGGACCTGGACGCCTTGGCGAAGGTCGTCGTTGTTAGAACAAACCCAGTAGTGGTGTTCGAGAGTGGGCACGGAAGCCCCATCACAAGTGTTGCAAGTAGTAGACATGTCGTTTCCCGCGTGGGATTGCAGCAGCGCATCCGACACAACGAAGCCGCACAGGACCACGGTCATGTGAGAAGCCAAGTCGGGAGTAGTGCGTCGTGCATATTGGGCACCACGCAGCGCGGCCGCCGTGAAGGAGGCACCCACTGCCAAAGGGCTCTCCCGGCTAGACCTGTTTTACAGCGTCGACCGCCCTGTAGAACGGAGGATCAGGCGAAGCTCGTGTAGCTGCTTGTCCATCCCGTCCGTGAGTTGGAGGGTCCCTTCTTCTACCCTTCAGTCGTCGTTGCCGTTCCGCCAGGCACCAACGGTTGCCAACTTGGATTTGTACGCATGGATCGGGCCCTTGGTGTGCGCCACAGTGACGGCGCGCTCCCAGAAGGCCAGGGGGCGTTGTCCCTGCCCGCGTGGCCCGAAGCGGAGCAGCTGCAGAGAGCGCAGGCAGAGGTGGTACCGCACATGCTTGGCGCCCCACGAGCAGCATCCCGAGGAGCTCTGGGGCCGCACCCCTCCTTCTTTTTAGGCCGCCCGTCTCGCAAGCTGCGGCTGCTGGTGTATCCCGATGTCCGTCGGTGGTGGGAGAGCCAGCGCCCAATTCGACACAGGTATAGCCACTGTCGTGACCTCAAGCCGCCGCAAACGTAGCGAAAGTGGGAGAGAAATAATGCTCCAGATTCGCGCACACCCTTCGTCGAAATTGCGCTGTTTCCTGTTGGTGAGCCTGGCCCTGTTGAGGTTTAGGTCGAAGCCCAGAATCTTCAGGTTCATCCCAGCAAGCTTGACATGTTGCACAATGGTTTTGATGTAGTGTAAGACTCTGAGTATATGTGTGGTTGGTCCGTAAAAACGTCATACTTTCCAGAAGATCTCACTCTTGCTGTATGCGCTGCATATCATCCGCTGAACTGGTCATTGCTGTGCGGTCGTCCGCGCATGCGCAACACATGGATGTCGGAGGTATTGCTCCAGTGTTTCGGAGTGGTCCCACATGGATCGTGGCCATCCCCAGCATGGCGATGGGGTCGCCTTGGGGTAGGGTGTGTGAGACCAGAACAGCTTAGCGAAGAGGAAGGGGCCGAGCTGAACCCAGCGATCCTGGTGGTCCCAGACGAATAAACGTCTGTCGGTGATCCCACTGGGGACCCCAAAGTGCCACCACGCAGCGCCTACCATGCGTGGAGATACCCGATCAAGAGGCCGACTCGCAATCCCAGGATGTGACGTGTAACTCGCCTTTGTTTTAGGCCTCCTAGATGGGGTTCGAGTAGATGGAGTCGGAGGATCGCACTGCATCGTCGATGCATCGACGATGCGGCTCCATGTGGAGACCGTGTTTCCCCACGCCGACGTCGCCGATGCATCGCCGACGTCGCCGATGCATCGCCGATGCAACGCCGGTACATCGGCGATGCATTGGCGATGCGGCGCGATCTTTCGACCCCATCTACTCGGACCCCATCCAGGAGGCCTCTATCTGTGCTGCCGAAAGAGATCTTGGTGTTCTGGCGTAGCTTGTAGCATCTCACCCAGCCGCTTAGCCGTGATCGTATCTTCGAGCCGGGACCGGCCTGGTTCGAGCACTCATTCCAGGGTGTTGCCTTCCATCCCCTCACTTTGTGTCTCTGGGAACGCAGATTGTAGTTATCAGATGGGTTGTGCCGCCCTTCACCTGTGCCAGGCCTTGACGATAGCACTGGCGATCGCTACAGGACGTAGCCTCGCAAGCCGTGGATGGTCGCAGACTCATCTTGTATGTGTATCCATTGGAGGAGT